CTTCCCGCCGTTTTGTGGTTGTGGCTCGTGCAACACATTCATTTGCGCCGCAAAACCACTTGGGGTGTAGTGTTCAGCACGTCAGAATATCTCCGGCAGGGGACGATCTTTGGTTGATATTCAAACCCTTTTCCGGCCCATCTTGCCCTGAGGCGCGCAAACAGTGACAAATAGTGACCGTTGACCCCGTCACCGCTCGTTGAAAGTGACTTGACCGTGGCCTTCGTCAGCCCGCCCCTACCCGTCCAGTCAGCCTTATTCAGCGTCTTCGGACCCGACTGTCGTCGTTGATGTTGACCGCAACCACGCAATCGACCATTTTCCAACGCACTGCGTGTCCGGCTCAGAGTCGACTGTCGGTAATTTCTCCGTTCTGATACCTCCCCAAGATATTCCTCGAGGACCATTCATATAACCTCTGATGTGTAGTGTGGCTCTCTTCGCTATTAGCGAAGTGTAGGCACGGCTTGCGTCGCGTTGATGCCGGCTGGCCAGCAAGGCTTTCTAGACCGCTCTTGTCACAAAACTATGTCATAGACGCGCAACACGCGCCCTTACACGAGGGGGATGGTGTAGTGGTTTCACCTTTTGACTACCTCGCGCGCTTTGTGGTCCCCTTCTGGACTATGTTCCTTTTGGACTCCTTGGATCTCATCGTCCGTAGCAAAAGCTCCGGCGTTGCTCCGCACCTCAGCTCTCCTCATCGTCGCCGGCGGTGCGTAGTACCTTTTTATCTTCTAGCGCGATTGTGCCTTTCTAGAAGCCTATGTGACCATGCTGCACACGTTGTTCATTACGCGGAAGTTTACTGGACGATGATGTACAATATCTGCTAATCTCACGATCTACACGCGTTTTGGACCCATGCATACATATAGGTGGGTGGTGGCTCCAGCGCGCGGACCCGCTTTTGTTCCGCCACAGTGACCGTCCTGGTACTTCACCCCCAACATGTCCCGCCTCGATAGTCTCCTGAATCCCGAGCAAGCAGATGAGCGCGCCTGGAGGTGAGCGGTGAATACAGATTCTGAAACTATGGATGACTTATAGATTGCATAGGCAATATAATACAACTCCGCCAACTTTACCCGGTCCTAATAGTCTGGCCGGTCCATCTACTGGCTATCAACTCTACGCGGCGCCCGCCTATGCCTATGATCCTTCTCATCACCCGCACGCTGGCTGTCCGAACTCGTTACGCTGCCTGTGGGACACTAATGAACGACCGCTCAACATGCCTGAGGCGCTCGTCCAGTGTGCAATCCTAGGCAGCCCTGAACGGCGTTTAACGGAAGACGGCATCCTCGACGCGTTGCAGAGCAAGTACCCGTACTATCGATTAGCCCATGCGGCGCTTGAACTCCAGGTGAGTCACGAACTCACTCCCCTTTTTGTTTGCCTGCGACTGATGGTTTTTTGCGGTAGAACGCCGTGAGAACCGTGTTGGTGCAGATGCCGTTCTTCACGCGCGTACCGCCAGCATCGCCGTCTGCAGGCGGAGGCGTGGTGGCGGACTCTGAAGATGAATATTGGACTGTTGATCTATCCGCCGTTGCATATGGCCGAAGCTCATACGCGTCACACCTGCGGTCCTTTAGCAGCGAGACGGAGTACCTTACCCGAGAGTCGGGCAATCGTAGCGCACCTATTGGCTCACTCTCTGCTCAGAGCAGTATTAACCGGTTGGCGTCTGTGCCTGTGGTCAACGTTGGCGCTCCTCACATCGCTGCGGGATCGCTCGCCTACATCTCACCACATGCGGATCATCCTGGATGTCCGGACTCGCTCACTTGTCTGCAAGATACGGACGAACGCCCCGGCTACACCCTCCGAACCATCATCACCTGCACGATTCTAGGCAGTCCAGAGCAACGTCTAACGCTCCGGGACATCTTCCTATACGTCAAGGCAAAGTATCCGTTCTTTAAAGTTCAGAACAAGACGTTCGAGGTTCGTCGACCCCGATAAAGTACAAAATCGTAGACTGGAGTGCTGACGTCCCCCGCAGCAAAGTACGCGACACATGATGTCTATGGACAACACCTTTCAGCGCCAACCACGAAAGTCGAACGAGCCGGGTTTCGGCTCCTTCTGGATCGTGGATCTTAACGCCCAACCTGGTACAAAGCGGCCCCGCTGGCGCGCTCCGAGAATTCCCATCCCGCCTGAAGAACAGGTCAAGCAGGGCCGCGGACGGCCGCGCATGTATATGCCCCTACCGAAATCACAAGGTGGCAAGGTGCCGAAACCGCGCGAGCGGGCGGGCGCGTCTACTTTGAGCGCAGCGGCGGGCGCCCCAGGACGCGAAGTCGGCATTGCCGACGGCTCGGCAACGTACTCTGCACACTCTTCATTTCCTCCCGGCTTCGATCCTTCTGCATCGAACGACGCCGATGCCGCGGCAAACGTTGACGACTCGGAGGATGAAGGTTCTACTACTGGACTCTCGTATCCCGAAGGCTATTTCAGCAAGATGGTCAATCGCGACGGCATACATGAGCTGCACGAGAACTGCCCGAGTTCTCTCCGCTGCCTGGACGACACGAACGAACGCCCCAAATATACCTACGCCCTCTTGCTGCGGTGCACCATTCTCGGAAGTCCTGAGGGTCGTCTCACTCAGCGCGAGATCTTCGCCGACATCAAGGCTAAGTTCCCCTACTACCGTACTGCGAACGCGGCAACATGGCAGGTCCGATTTCATAGTCTCTTCCGTGATGAAGAGCATGCGCTCATTGTCGCGTTTAGGGCTCAATGCGCCATCAACTCTCTCTCAACCGTCTTTTCGAGCTTGAAGAACGGCCACCCACGCTTGGGCCCGGTCAAGGTGGGTATTGGCGCGTAAACCTCAACGCGCCACCGGGTACGAAGCGCCCTCGAAAACGTGGTACTCAGGATAACAGGAGTGCTGCTCCACCGTTGACTTATGGCGCACCTGCTGTCCGAATGGACGACCGTCAACCCGGGCCGTCACATCACCTGGCGCCTGTGAATTACCACTGGGGCGGTCAAGGCGTCCTGGATCCGGCTCTGCGTGGACAAGGGTACGCGGGACATTATGTAGCGGGTGGAAGCCACCCAGGCAATGCTTTCGCATCACAATGGAGTAGCACCCGACGATACGACGACCATCCGAGCCCGCATGGCGGTGACGTGCATCTACATGAACAGGACCCCAATACATACAGTTGAACTCCTGAGGCAAGTCGTCGGCATGCAAGTTGGCTGCGCATATCGGTGCCTCAAAGGACCGAACACGACACCATCATTGACATAACGCGTATAAGGATAACAGTACCCATCCATACACAGAGTCGTCAAATCCTCCTACCCTCAGATGACTATCAAGGCGTCTCCTGCATACACTTCCGAGGAAGACCCGGATGGAATCTCAAAAACCTACGTCAATCAGGGCACACAGTCCGAAGCCACGGCAAAAGCAATCGGAGATGTATACGTGCCTGCTAGCCTGGCAATGCTTCTGCGTAGACTGTTCTCAAGCACGCTCCGGACACATGGATCAGAAGTCAAACAAAGTTTCGATTACACGACATGTACATTAGCCTGATACCCAACGAGAAGCGTGCTAACACAATAGACTGGGAGCCGCAGAAACACTACATTAGACTTTGTAGCCGCCGGCGAGCTTCATGACACCATCAGGGTCGACGGCGGCCTGAATTGCCTGCAGGCGGGGAACGTTGGCACCGAAGAGTTGCTCGGCGGTCACCTCCTCAAGGCCGTAGTTTGAGTACTGGAATGCATTGCCAACGTTCTGGCCCTCAGCATCAGCGGCAGCGCGGACCTTGTCGGCAGCCTCGTTCTGCTTGGCGTGGAAGAAGTCGTACAATGAGTTGTCCGCGAAAGAGAAAAAGATGTTCGACGGGCGGAGAGGGCGCGAACGGTCAGGAGGGTATGCGGAGTCGGTTCCGTAGCTGAAGAGCGACTCGTCGAAGGGCTCAACGTAGAACGACGACAAGAAGGTGGAGTCGTTAGCAGCGAGCGTCTCGCCGTAGGACTAGTGATCATTGATCAGATTACGCAATATATATATAGAAGGACCTAGAACCGAACTTACAACAGCGAGCTCCTTGAACGTCTCAAGAAGCGTCGGCGAGTATTGAAGCACGTTCACGCTTGCGTACTTGGCTGTGACGCCAGGTGCGATGGGGGCAATTGGCAGCTGAGCCTCGAGCAGGTCATAGTAAGAGCGAGTCTTGATGTCAGAGATGGTCCGCGGGATGTCGAGGAGACCGAAGAAGGCGTTTTCCGGTGCGGTGGGAGCATCGTAGTAGACGGTGATAGTGCTGTAAGCAGTACCGTTGCTGTACTGGTACGCAGGGAGGATGGACGCCTTGGTGTCCGTGTTGTTGTTGGAGAACGCGCCAATCGCCTTCGTCACATCGTCAAAGTACTCGCCCGAGACCTGGATCAGACCACCATAGACGTCAGTCTGTGGGTGTGTCTTGAATGTGAACTTCGTGACGATGCCGTAGTTGTTGAAGGCACCACGGAGAGCAAAGTATAGGTCATCTCCCGGGAAAACGGTAGTGACAGTGCCGTTCGGAAGAACCAACTCGTACGACGCGATGTTGTCAATGGCGAGACCATACTGGCTCGTCTGGAAGGTGTAACCTGCGGAGCATATCAGCGCCAGTTAAGAGTGCATACTACGGTCAGTACATACCACCGCCCAAGCTGAAGCCGGCCACACCGACGCCAGGTACACGGCCACCAGGAGCGTTAACGCCGGTGCCGTTGAGAGCAAGGTAGACCTCATCCCAGATGCTGCCCGCACCAACGTCAACCGAGGCCTTATCGTCGCTCAACTTGATGTCCTTGAAGCGCGACATTGCGATCTGGACACCAGTAGTGGACGAGAAGCCCTGGTTAGTAGCGTGACCTCCACCCTTGACGGCGAAAGGAGTCTTGGTCGAGCCGATAACCTTCAGCTACGACGATCGCGTCAGCATCCGTATCACGAGAAAGTAACGGTTCATGTCTCACAATCGCGCCAACGTCTTCAGCAGTGCCAGGCTCAACGGAGCAAGTGGCTTGCTGAGTGCTGGACGTCGCCCAGTGCTCAATGTCCGCGTCAAAGCTGTCCGAGCCAGGGTATGAGATGGCCGACGAGCTTGAGATCGCGTCCGCAATCTGCGAGCAAGCATCCGCCGCGGCGTCGCGTGGACGGGGTGTAGCAGAGACAGCGGTGGTTGCGAGCAGGAGAGCAAGGCTGGAGGAAAGCATTGCGCTGGAGTGAGAGCCGCGGACGGAACGAGGAATGCAGGACGAACGAGCAAGGGCTTTATACGTGTCCCAGCTGCGTACGCTGCGCGAGTCGGGCAACTATACGAGGCCCAAGAGCTGCGTTCGGCGATGCCAGTTCCCTAGTATTGCGTGGGTTGCACCGTAGTCAGCTTACGATACACAATATAAGGCTTTGATCTGAACATTGGTCGAGTGAATCTAAAGCAGGCCCTTGCTGATAAATGTTCAGAAGTTCACCTAGTGAAGACCGGCTTGCGCCGTTGACAAAGCATCGGCATGTTAACCCGTGGGCCGCGCCAGAGAAGCACAGTGATGTCCTAGCAAAACGTTAAACCCTCTTATTGGTGACGGCAGTCCACTAGATCGTACACTCTATGCAATAAATGTCAGTCCACGAAGGCCAGAGAGTGTACAGAGCCACACCTATTGAAGACCGGAATCTGCCCTGCATCCTGAGTGATTCGCCGCTTGTGCTTCCCCGCGTCGGCGAGGCTGAATTGCAGATGGGATGACCGGAGGAGAGCATGATCAGGGGTAGTACCTGGCCAAAAGAAGGTGACGGCGGTGATGCCGAAAGGCGGAGAATTGGCAGAGATCACCACCGCCGGCATCAGGAACGTTCATACGTAGCTGCATTCCGGATCTTTCACTCAGAAGAGTATAGCATGTAGCAAGCCTGGTGAATAGCAAATCAACGTACGCCGACCATACGCTCAAAGACATTTTCGCAGCGGGGTGCGAGTGAGCGGAGCTACATACGCCAGGCGATGAAGGGTGATCACGCCATGGCAAGACAGCCCCTTCGGGCGGTTTGACAGCTGGTGACAGCCTGTAGCAAATTCATCAGCTTGATCAAGAAGATGCATCAGCTCGCCGGCGCGTATATTGGCCTGGGCAACTTGCCGCGGGCGCGATTGATGGCCTGTTGATTGTGTACAGTGGAAATGACAACAACATCGGCGGAGTGTGGCGTTCAGCAGCGCTGGGCTTCAAGGAGAGCGAAAGACGCATGAATGAGATGTTGAGGATAGTGTCAGCACAGTACCACTCCGTAGGAGAGAACGAAAGATGTCTGGCGATGGGCTCAGAGAAGGCGTGCACTTGAAACGGACGCTCTCGAGCGCAGGCGGTTAACGTGAAGGCTGAACAAAGAATGGCCGCTTTGACGAGCCATAGGCCGGGTGCACCCAAAGGTGTATCATCACCGTAAAGAGCATGCAGCTGTGATCCGTGAAACCTACGCACAATGACGAAAGATCGCAACACATTTGAGTTCTGAGGCGGACCAACTGGCCGTCCAGCTCACGTTGAACCGTCGGGTGAAGTGCCGTGGCGCGTGAAGAGGAGGGTGAGCCGCATCTTGAGCATGAGTTCTACGTATAAGTATGTCCAGTTCGAAAGGTGTGCGTAAGATACAGCTGACTGATGACATCGTTGTGGTCGCGACTGCAGGAGCTAAGCGGGCCACGGCCGGAACCCGGCAAGTGCCGTGCCCAGATCCCACGACTAGAGAAGGCTGAATCATACCCTGTTATGGCTTACAAGTTTCTGGGACAAGCCTTCTCAGCGATAGCAAATGACTCAGTAAAGCATTTATGGTACAAAGAGCAAATAGCAATCCGACATCTAACATATTATAGCGTGAAATCCAGCAATGAGTAGCCGATCCTACTCGAAGTCCTCTGCGAACATCCCCGCAAGCCCCTCGCTGATATCCTTGACCCTTTCCCCGATTGCTCGCCGCGCACAGTTCCTACACTCGGGGTGCATCATAGTCGTTGTCCCAAGTCTCTCGAACTCCCTCCCCATCGCCTTGAGTCTCCCTAACACGTCTGCAGGCGCGCACAAAAGTACGCCAGCACTGCACGAACTCTTGTCGCGCCAGAACTCCAGCCAGCTCTGCGAGCAGCTGGACTTCTGCCAGTTGAGCTCGCATGCAGGCGCATGCTCGATCTTGAGAGGGTCGCGTCGCAAAACCTCCCATGCCGCGACGAGCCGATAGTGGCCCGCAAGTAGACGAAGCTGTTGCGTGCGACTCACAAACAGCCTCGCGCCCGACCCGTCGTCCTCGAAGTCACCCAACACGAGACCGCAATCGCGATGCGCCTCTGAGAGGACGACGATGTGGTCTGGAAAGTGTCGAAGTAGGACTTCAAGATACGCTTCGCCCTGAAGAGCGTGCAGACCAAGCTCATCCGCAAGCTTGAGCGCAAGGTATGCGTTCTGTACGCCCAGATGCATCGCTCGCCGGAGATTATTGATCATACTATCAAGAAGACGTTTGTGAGAGCACAGTTGTGCTAAGCGTACAAGCTCGACTATTTGAGCATTGCTGGCTTCTAGTCGAGGCGAGGTAGTTGTCGCTGAGCTCGGCGTGGCGATTGAGGCCAGGGGGAAAGTGAAGGCCGAATGAGAAGGCGGTGGCTTGCGATCCAGTGCATCAACGATGCTGTCCAAGGCCCATGTCTCCACGCTCTTGAAGCCGTACTTGTTGGCCGTTCGTGCTATGTCGATCAGTCGTGGTAGGTCGGCGCCACTGGCGATCTCATGTGGTAAGGCATACAGAACCCAGAGAAAGTTGCGGAAAGCTGGTGCAGAGTCGTTGTGCAATACGAGAGGCTTGTCATCGGAGGAGCCGTCCTGTGGCAAGTCGCCGGGTGAAGGTACAAGAAAGAGCGACGAGAAGAAGGACGAGTCTCGCGCGAGCAGTGTTCGGTGAACCTGGCAATATCGTGTCAGCGTATCAGATATACGCAGTGGAGAATTTGCTGTCCAAGAAGCGATACAATGCAGTGGGGAGCTTGAATAAATGAAATGCTCGTGCCATGAAGCAAGATTCGTTCCTGACATGCGCCCCGGAAGCGACGACATGAGGCCTGGCCGCATGCAATGTAGAGAGCCGTGATCAGCCGCATGAAAGCAAGCTTCGGGCCAGAAGAAGAGCGCGTTGATTCATCGAGACAGAGCAGAAATAGACATGTTGAAGGTAGCATCTCCAACTTACATTGAATAGCACATTATCCACCAGTATAATACAACTGCCGTCCGACATGTAGTAATCGGGATCCCTCGACGGAGGAGTGTCCGCGCGTTTCCTCTTGAAGGAGTCCTCTGTCATTCTAAGTCTCTTCCTCGGTGGCAGTTCGAGAGACTCGCTGGAGGATGAGGCGTGGGGGGACTGTTGTTGGTGGTGTGGCGCCACGACCTGCGCAACCTCGTCGTCGGAATCGTCTGCGGATGGGATATAAGGCTGCGAGTTCGTCGCAGTGTCCATCTATATACGTGATGGTGCAGAACGAGGGTGTCGTCCGAGTCCGAGTTGGTGGTGGCGGCCCGCCGCGGGATGATGTCGAGCTGACCGCGAAGGTGCGGGGTTTAGCGCTGCAGCGCGTGTCGTGGTCGCGATGCCAAACCCAGATAATGTCGCGCCTCTGCTCTCAGTAGCGTATACGCAGCAGTATGAGATACACAGTTCTAGCGCGGTGGTACGGGACCCAGAGAAACAAGGCGAATGTACTTGAGAGTGGTGAAGGGGGAGAACAACGCTTGTGTGGTCGTCGGCCGACTCAATTCCGGAGATACAGCGATCATCCCGATTGATTAGATCAAGATCAGGAGATAACGTTGGGCCGTGGCCGCCGACGCGCTTTCTCTTTCTGCCCTCATGTTCATGTGGTCCGCTGCGGCCAGTGACCATATACATCCCAGTCAGAGCGTCACGCTATATCGGATGGATTTCAGTCTACATTTGTCAGGAGCGCTGTGACTACGGCGGGTACCTGCGCCGGTCTTTCAGTGTCTGATATAGCGCATACTCAGGCGCACGTCGACCTCTGTTTCGTGCATTGCGGATCCCGCATTTACTTTCCTTCTGCCCACTCTGTAAGCCATACTCTGGATGAGGTATGACTACCTCAGCGTAACACTCGTATATGTCGTTGCAGCATGTTTGTCATGAATATGACCCCGCGCGTGCAGCGCGGTGCGACCAACACGATCGAATACCTCACCAGTATCTTCATGCTCACCTCCTTTGGGGACTGGCAAAGAGTGCGGTACGGCGGACTTGAGGATGACTCCTACATGCCGTGTCCCAGAATTGCAACGGAATTGTTCAAATTTACCACTGTTGATCTGCTTGCGTATTAGCAGAGATACTGATAGAAAGCTGGGAGCACAAGACTCTAATGCTATCTAAGCTTTATACTGATGTCGACGCCGCACTTGGTGACCTGTAGTAAGAGGGCGTAGCGTGGTGTGGCACGTAAGTGGATGAGCGTTCAGGGAAGTCGCCATTGAGAGGCAAATATTTTAGCAGATAAGCCAATACAAAGAGGCCACTCGGTCTCAGGTTGCGAACTGCATTGAACATAGACGCTACGATTGAGCGCGATAGAAACTGGGTCCTGCAAACATATATCTGAGAGAGAACTCACGTGGGCGCGAAAATGGCCGGACCGAGCTTTCCGACGCACTCGCCAACTTTTTGCGGGCTGCTGCTTCTGAGCTCTCCTCAGTGTCTCGTGTACTTGGGTCCCTCCTGTTTTCTGTCGGCCGCTTGCTCTCTGTGCTTTCCTCATCACTGCTCTGTAACACCTCCCCTGAAGAACAAAAGTACACTACCCCAGCGTCTCGTTGGACCCGCGCACACACCATGCGCAAGCAGCTCGACCCCCGCATCCCGACGCTCATCAACAATAATGTCAAGACGAATCACCGCAGCTTTATCGTACTCGTAGGAGACAAAGGACGCGATCAAATTGTCAACCTACACTTCCTACTCTCGCAAGCGCGTGTATCGGCTAGACCGAGCGTGCTTTGGTGCTACAAGAAGGATCTTGGGTTTACCAGGTCAGTTGAGCCGCCTTGATCTCAGTCAGGTACTTGATAGCCGTGAATCATGTCTGACCCACAATACAGTCACCGCAAGAAACGCGAGGCTAAAATCAAGCGCGACGTCAAGCGCGGCATCCGGGAAGCAAACGAGCAGTCGCCCTTCGAGATCTTCGTGACCGTAACCGACATTCGATACACCTACTACAAGGAGTCCCACAAAATTCTCGGGCAGACATATGGAATGCTCGTCCTGCAAGACTTCGAGGCTCTTACGCCGAACCTACTCGCGCGAACGATTGAGACGGTTGAGGGTGGAGGACTCGTCGTGCTACTGCTCAAGACTATGAGCAGTCTGCGCCAGCTGTACAATATGACTATGGACGTACACAAACACTACACGACGGCAGCCAATACGAGTGTGGTCCCTCGGTTCAACGAGCGCTTCATCCTCTCGCTCGGCGCGTGCGACGACTGTCTCGTACTCGACGACGAGCTGAACGTACTTCCCATCTCCCGTGGGAAGGACATCGTTGCGCTGGAGGACGATCGCGGAAAGGGCCGTGCAGGTGCCGCGTCGGAGCTCGCAGACCTTCAAGAGTCGTTGCAGGATACGAAGCCGGCCGGTGACCTCGTGAAATTGGCGAAGACGACGGATCAAGCGCGCGCATTGCTCACGTTCGTCGACGCCATCGCGGAGAAGACACTCAGCAGCACCGTCACGTTGACGGCCGGACGTGGTCGCGGCAAGTCTGCTGCTCTCGGACTTTCCATCGCTGCGGCGCTTGCGCACGGCTATGCAAATATCTTCGTCACGAGTCCAAGTCCGGAGAACTTGAAGACCCTCTTCGAGTTCGTATTCAAGGGCCTCGACGCGCTCGGATACGAGGAGCATCTCGACTACGACATCGCGCAGAGCACAAACCCCGAGTTCAACAAGGCCATCGTCCGCGTGAACGTCTTCCGCGCCCACCGACAGACGATACAATACATCCAACCGCAGGACGCACATGTGCTTGGGCAGGCCGAGCTTGTCGTGGTTGATGAAGCCGCTGCCATACCACTTCCGCTGGTCAAGAACCTCATGGGTCCTTACCTCGTCTTCCTCGCCAGCACTATCAACGGCTACGAAGGAACGGGGCGTTCTCTCTCCCTCAAACTCATCCAGCAACTCCGCGAAAGCACAAGACCGTCGCTCACCAAGGACGTTGCGCTCACCGATGACCCTGCCGCTGCGACAAGCTCATCGAAGAAGGCTGCCCACGCTGCACCTTCACGCGTGCGGTCACTACGCGAGATCAAGCTAGAGACGCCCATCCGATATGGCGCAGGTGACCGCGTCGAAGCATGGTTGAACAAGCTGCTGTGTCTGGACGCAGGCAGCGGCGCACGCCCTCTCGCTCAGGGCACGCCCCACCCCTCTCAGTGCGAGCTCTTCTATGTCAGCAGGGACACGTTGTTCTCTTTCCACGCCGCGAGCGAAGCGTTCCTCCAACGTATGATGGCACTCTACGTTGCGAGCCATTACAAGAACAGCCCGAACGATCTGCAGCTTATGTCCGACGCCCCGGCACATCACTTGTTCGTGCTATTGCCACCGCTGAAGGAGGATGATGCCCATCTACCCGAACCGCTCGTCGTTTTGCAGGTCGCGTTGGAGGGCAACATCTCGCGTGCGGCGATCCTGGATAGTCTGGGGAGGGGTATGAGGCCCGGCGGGGATATGATTCCTTGGATAGTAGCACAACAGTTCCAGGAGAGCAGGTTCGCACAGATGAGCGGGGCGCGTGTGGTCCGCATTGCAGCACATCCGGATTACGCGGGCATGGGCTACGGCCGGCGCGCACTCGACGCTCTGAACGCGTACTACAGCGGCGAGTACTTCTCGCTCGACGAGTCGGTGCGCGAGGAAGCAATGTATCCGGACGCCGCTGCCGTCGAAGAAGGAACGAGTCTCCTGGAGGATAAGCCGAGGGTGAGGGGCGCCAACGAGATGCCACCGTTGCTGATGAGGCTGACGGAGAGGAAACCGGAGACGTTGGATTACTTGGGTGTCTCGTATGGCCTTACGAGTCAGCTGTTGAGGTTTTGGAAGAGGGCGGGGTATATCCCGCTGTATATCCGCCAGACGCAGAGTGAACTTACTGGCGAGCATACGTGCTTGATGATCCGCGGGCTGAAGTCCGCGGGACCGAATGATCTGGAGTGGTTGGGCGAGTTTGCGAAGGGTAAGTCTGCAGTTTGTCACTATCAATGTACTGTGTACTAATGCTATGCATAGACTTCCGCCGTCGCTTTGTACAACTGCTTTCATACAAGTTCCGCGAATTCGGCGCCGTGCTTGGTCTTAGTGTTCTTGAGGCTGCGAACTCCGGCGTCGCCTTACTCTCCACCCCGCCATCTCCGTTGACGGTCTCTGAACTCGACTTCATGCTCTCGCCTTTCGACTTGAAGCGTCTTGAGGCATACGCGGCCAACCAGCTCGACTATCATGTCGTACTCGATCTCCTCCCTGCACTCGGCTCGCTCTACTTCGAATCCCGACTCGGCGCGGACGTCCGTCTGAGCGCGATTCAGGGCGCGATCCTTCTCGGAATGGGATTACAAAGGAAGAGCGTCGAGGAGGTCGAAAGCGAGCTTCAGCTCCCCGTATCACAGACTCTTGCGCTGTTCGTCAAGCTCATCCGGAAGATCACCAACCGGTTGCAGGAGCTGAAGAAGGAAGCTATCGCCGCGGACATCCCTGACAAGTCCGCCGCACCAGCTCTACCGGTAGCAGAGAAGCCAAAGGAGGGAGCGGCTAAGGCCATTGAGATGGAGCTGGACCAGGCGGGCGATGCTGCAACGTCTGCATTACGCGAGAAGCAGCGAGCGATGCTCGATTCTCTCGACTTGTCCAAGTGAGTCTTTCATACTTCTGCTTCGCCCCAGAAGCCGACCCTCGTCCTAGAATGTCAGTGAATGTGTGAACTCACCAACTCTGCAGATATGCGATTGACGATGGCGCTGCAGATTGGACGGCCGCAGAGGCGCATGTGCGTTCTGGTGCTGGGAAGGAAGGCCGCGCCTCGGTTATCAGCGTGAAGACCAATGCTCCGGCGAAGAGGAAAGCGGAGGCCGAACCTGAGCAGAGTGGCGGAGAGAAGAAGAAGAATAGGAGGAGTATGGGGAAGAAAGCAAAACACTGAGGCAGTGTGTCCATGTATCGCTTTTCCTATACTCTATGTCTTTCATGTCGTTCTGCTATAACTTCGACTCATTCGTCGTGTGCTTTTCTCGCCTCAGTCATACAGCTGTATATTAGCTCGCGGCGCTGGTAGTAAAAATAAAAGCCTCATGTAAGTGGATTATCGAATCTAGAACGCTACTTTATGGCCAACGAACAAAAGTAGTAGCCCACCGCGAGGGTCGAACTCGCAGCCTTCAGATAATCGAACCCGCCTGGT